CTATTCTCCCCCCCCCCCTGGGTGAATGCATAAATCAGAATGCGAGACCAGGCCAAGCAGGCAGGAAGTCTCGTGGCTGGCGATGACACCGTTATCTCGTCCGTTCTGCGGATCATAGTCTCCACAGAATGAAAGGTAATCTTAGTCCTGCTGGGAGGGGGGGACAGGGGGGGAAACCACAGACGCACCGACCAGAGGTGCAAGGTCACTCGCGTCGTTCAGTGCCGCCAGCAGTCACAGCAATTTTAGGTTCTATATTCTGCTCATGTGTTGTTGGTATTGGTATCGAGCAGAAGACTTTTCACACTATTATGATGGACATTGGAGGATTGGACGGGAGAGTTTTCGTTTGGTTTATTATCCGTTAGAGAGAGATAAAATAAAACGTGGGATTGTTTTTGTTCCTTTGCGGTATGATTCATATCATGGGCATCGGATTTAAGTGTTTTTATCAAACTAACAGTTTTAAACATCCATGTCAGTTTACAATTTACTGGTTTAACTTTGGCTTTCCTGCACTTGTAACTCCGTATTCTGCATTTTCCAAATGCTCCCTTCCAAAGGAAATGGTTCAAATGAAAAACAGATTGGTCGTTGTTTGCTTGTGTCTCTTGTCCCGTCAGTTATCATAACTGATAGACATGATGAGCAGAACTATAAATTTACCCCATTTTTAAGAAACTTCAAATCTCCCTCAATCTCAACGGGGAACTAAATGTCCATAAACTCCCTTTGTGGATCAATCCTCACCTGTGACTTTCAACTTCCAGGTCGAGCTGGGAGCTCCCCGACCTGCGTGATGGCAAAATCCAGGCCATCAGCGACTCGGACGGGGTGAACTACCCGTGGTACGGCAACACAACGGAGACCTGCACCGTGGTGGGCCCCACCAAGAAAGACAGCAAGTTCACCGTCAGTATGAACGACAACTTCTACCCCAGCGTGACCTGGGGCGTGCCCGTCAGCGACAGCAACGTGCCTCAGCTCAGCGGCATCCGCCGCGACCAGAGCTTTACCACGTGGCTGGTGGCCATTAACCAGGCCACCTCCGAGACACTCGTGCTGCAGACGATCCGCTGGAGGATGCGGCTCCACATCCGGGTGGACCCGGAGAGGCCTCTGGGCCACAGGGCTGCTCTGAGCGAGCCCGTCGCCCAGGAGCAGCCCCAGATCCTGGGCAGGAACGAGCCCATCTCCTCCAACGCCATGGTCAAGCCCAACGCCAACGACGCCCAGGTGCTGATGTGGCGGCCAAAGAGCGGCGACCCCATGGTGGTGATCCCGCCCAAATACTGACCCCGCTTCACCGACCGGACTGGCCTTGGATACCTTGATCGTATCGTCTCTTATTTCTTCTCTTTTATTTTGTTCCCGCTCGTCACCAGCTCTCAAACCTAAACACCCCCCCCTTTGGCCACTATATTCTTCTCTTTTGTACAAAAAAAAAAAAGACTGACGGAGGGAAAACCAACAAAGAAACTGGCTGGGCTGGGGGGCTTGAAAAAACGCTTTTGAAACCGGAGTGAACAAACTGCAACCATTCTACCTTCGAACCGGGTCGGGCGCACTGTGCTAAACGAAATCATCGCAAAAAGGAAACCGGAATAATCTATTCTGTTTTTATTTTTATTTTTCAGTGTTATATTTGGGCTGCTTTGGGCCAAGTGACATGAGGGTTCGTGAGTGTGGGTGGATTTAAGTATTTATATAACCACGTGTGCACACATGCTACACACATGGGTATAACCGGTTGTGTTTTTATTTATGGGAAGATTGCATTTAACTTATATGTTTTGTTGCATTGGTTGGACATACTAGCTTTTAGCCCTTGCAAGACATTCAATCCATGCTGCCTTAAGTTTACATTGCTTTCCATTGCAAACTTTTTAGCCTTAAAACACAGTGCAATGCAGTACTTTGCTCAATCGCAAACCAGTCTCTTCCAGACGTGTTGGTGCTGCGACTTGCGTGTGGGTTTAGAACAGGGACGACACCACAGAAGAAGACCCGGGGTCTGAGGGCTTTTACACAACGGACGTATTGTCCCGCGACTGCAACCGGCACCGTGCGTGGACGCGGTTACACAACCAGAGTAGCCAGTTGTGTTTCAAGTGCATTACGCAACAGATACAGAGGACACCAGTGAAGCCAACGCTCGTCAATAGCGCTCGACACAGTTTAACGTGCAATAGCAGACGTACTCGACGGCACTCCTGCGCTAACCTCATCTCATTCACTTTATCCCGTCTGCAGGCTTTTAACACCGCAGCACCTGTCTCCCTCGCTGCGTTTCACCCCATCTCAGGGCCCCTCGTTCTTTCACTTCCCTTTCTCTCGTTGCACGCATCCTGTCGGGCCCGCTCGGGTCTCGGCACAAGCAAGCAACCGGGCCTTTCGGTGCTGACGTCGAACGATCGATACTTGGCGAAAACAGCCGAGGGGAAGTAACTGGAGCCTCGAAAACTGGAGGGTGAAAAACAGCGGGATGCTTGCCGGGGGGGGGGGGGCGTCATGTCTTTTTATTTGCAACCGTTGCCTTTGTTTGAATTACTTTCACCCCTGCTCGTTCAGTGCTAACTCTCCCTCATCTTCAGTCATCTGTAACCTTCACCGACCCCCCCCCGGAGTGCTTCTTTCCACCGGGCTCTTTTTTCTTCTTCTCTCATTTCAGCCTGTTGTCGAGGCTGAAGAACAGGAAGCGTGCAAGTTTGACTTTTCGGGCCCTGCCAGTCGTTGCTCTCGTTGCGGAAATGTGGGGGTTTCCCTCCTTTTATTTCACTGGCAGTAACGGACAAACGCGCAGGCGACACACAGCTCTGGTCGGCTAAATCCCAACATTAAATCAAAAGGAGGCCTGTTGGGCTGTTAATCTTTGAGAATTGCTTCAGCTGCAAACTCCACCACTTAAAAACAGGGCGAGAGGCTGATTTTGGCATCACGGGGAGGCCGAAAAATGGGAAAAACATTATTTATGCACACAAAATCCTTTTGAATCTGTTAATGAGCTCTGTACGTTTTTCACTTTTAGATGTTCCAAACAACTGGCAAGCTCCAAGTTCCTGTGTTTTGCCTCAAACCAAAGAAATAGTTTATGTGCAAGTCTTACCTGCTTTTGCATTTCACAAAGATCAGTCACGCTGCTATTTTTGCGTATCGGCGTCTCCTTGCCAGCAACGCTAGAAAGGATTCACCCATCAAACGGTTCAGGCGGCCTTTATTTGTGTTCTTTAGGACGTTCTGTACAAAACTAATTCTCTTGTGAATGAACTCATAAGGCGAGTACTACAATTTGTTTTTGGGGGAAACATTTGAGGGCGTGACTGATAACAAGCTGTGTCCAAGCTAAATATGAACTGTGTATCAAAGCTTAAAGCTGAGCTGAGCTCATATGCATCACGCATAACAAGAGCTCAGCTTAACCGGAGCTCAGACGCCAACTTGTGAAGTCCATTGCACAGCCTACGGGCTGTGCCGCTTTGCTCACATTAGAAACTACGTGCTACGCGTCGGCCCTCCTACCCGGATTGGTTTCACGTCCGACCACGACAGCCTTTGCTCCGCGCCGGGTCGCGCGGTGAGAAGAGAGAGGCGCTATTGGGTGACTGCTGTCATAATTAGACCTGCAGTGACACAGTTGCATGCCCTAGATGGGCTGAGCTGTGCCAAGTCGGTGTCACCCCGGGGGCCCTGAGCCACGGTGGAGGTTTGAGTGAGGTTAAATAGCGAAAAAAAAAAAGGGTCAGGGTCAAAGTGTCTGTGTGCGAGGCGAGCTGTCAAAGTCCTAAAATGTACCGCGCACAGTGGAGCGAGCGGCGGCAACGAATGAAATCCATTTGGTCATTAAAGCCGGCCTAAAATAACATTGACATTTACCAAACCCAACTTGGATGTCAACCACGAGTTGTTTCAGTTGGTGGTTTGTTTCGAACGCAGCAGAGAGCGCTCATGTTATGAACTCCACCACCCCTTCACCCGACGTAGTATTTGTATCTTCCCCCTCGTGTCTTGTGGATAGTACTTGAGCTGGACTCCATGTAATGTAATTAAACCACGACACGCAAACACGCACGCGTGTGTGTGTGTGTGTGTATTTGTGTGAGCGTGCGCGGGTTAAATCTCATTTGAGGGACTTTAGGTGGGATGAGGAGTCCCACTGTTGTGCTTCTGCTGTTGTTGAGTCACGATTCTCTCGCTCTCTCTCACTCACACACACACACACACACACACACACACACACACAGTGCATGAAAGGTTATGTCCTTATCATAAAACACGCACACAGACACACACAAACCCCCAGGGGGGGGGGGGTGGGGGGGGGGGGGGGGGGACGGCACAGGGGCAGAGCCCGCCGTGGTGTCTGATTGTCGCGGCGGCACACTGGCAGTGAGAAGTTATTTATCAGCCCTGCACATGTGGAGCGTCTGCACACACGCACATGCTACTAAGCCATATGCACAAACACGCCTGTTAACCAGGAACCAGGAGCGGATACATGCTTTAATGTGAACAAGAAAAGGTACTGAGCTCATTGAGTGGGTGCCTATCAACTATCAACAGCATGTATTGTAGAATAAGGGCAAATTGTCTTGTGTGTGTGAATCTGTTAGTATGTGTTAGTGATTTCATGTTACATGAAGAACTTCATAAATGCTTTACGTGCTTTATTAGCTGGGGGGGGGGCGGCACATTGTGTGTTTGCTGTACTGGCCCTCTGCCAAAGGTGCCAAAATTGGACAAAGCCAAAACTATGCAGTAGGTCACCGTTACTCACAACTCTTGGCATTTAATAACAGGCCTGTTTTCAGTTGATGTTTTTTTTTTTTTTTAAATGCATTGTGCATATTTGTGCAGAACGCCGCCACGTGGACGCTTGTTTTGTGCTTGTGGGGCTGAGCCGAGTGGACGAAAAGGGAGGGCTACTACCTTTGCTCGTGATCCTTATGTTGTGATTCAACATCCCTTTATTCAAACCAATAAGACGTCCCGGGTTTACACTCGGGATCGCCTGCCTTCATTTATCCGACGTGGACTTTTGGTATCTAAATAGGACAAAAGTTAGTTTAGCTGTTCTCTCAAAAATAAAATCCACACAGTCCATATGGTTAAAGTATAACCCTAAATGTAGCACAGAAGATGAAATGAGTGACTTTGTATGTTCCTCATTTTGTTTAGTTTGTTTTCTGGGAATCCAGCACTGAATAAGTTAAAGCAGTTTGTGTGCTTTTGTTTAGCTTTGACTTTTACACCAATACTTGAAAATGGGTCAGTTCTGGCAAATATTTAAAACTGTGAAAATGCACAACACCGGGAAAACAAACCCGGAAAAAAATAAATATAAAAAAAAGAAGATATTTTTCATCAATGAATAAAATGTACAAACATCCTCTGCTGGCGTTCCTTTTCTTTTCAGCTGTAATGTGGAGACGTGCTGTTGCCACAGTGATGCCCAAACTGAAAGCAACAATGACTTAGATTTACACTCTACATCGCCCTCTTTAACCCAATGACTAATTATACTGAACAAAGGTAATACTTTAATCCAAACATATGTCATTTCAACAGGGGTTTCCGTCCCAAACGTGTGTTCATCATCTTTTGAACCCCAACACGTAAGAAATATAAGTGAAAAATTGTGTAAGCCTGCATAGGAGCAGACCTGGAGGCCACACACACACACACACACACACACACACACACACACGGCTGAGCACAAGACGTGCTGTGTGCACTGAAGAGGATGCTGCTGCTCTGTAGAGTCTCTTGTTGTTGACTGAGGTGATTAAAAGCAATGAAAGGAGCTGGGGTAACGAAAGAACGAATAAGTGGATGAAGAAAGAAAAAGACAGTTATGATATTTTAAGGACTATGTTGATTTGACATGCATCGTCGAAAAAAAACAACAAAAAACAATAATGGAAAACCTGAGTCAGAGAAAACCTACATTTTTGTATATTGCGAAAAATGACAATAACATTTCCATTTTACACAGAAACCACAAAACCGTGAGGATTTGAGTTGAGCGTTTATCTGCAGCATGATTTAATTCAGCTGCGCGCCGGCCTCTCTGCTCCAGAGTGTGTGAGGAAGATGGAGACTTGAATAGCAGTCACAAAGTGACTCTTTTAATTAGCGTTCCACCATCTTTTATCATTGACTCATTGACTTCATTTCAATCTTATTCTTTCATCCTTTTCTGTATTTTATTCAAAAGAATAAAACTGGCCCTATAATATATTATACGCCATTTTCCCCCTTACACTTTTCCCCCTGCCTGTGGAAAGTACATCCTTTCACCAGTAAAAAAGGATGAACGTGAATGGAGTCATATATGGGCAGTGAGTACACAGGTATGCTGACAGGGCAATAATAGCAGACGAGTACTTTTCCACCTCTTCTGCCCTGCATTCTATCCATCTACCTGTCCACATCTGTCCATTCTACCTCTTTAAAGAGTCCTCCGTGGATTGCCAGGAGCTCTATGAGGTTGCTTAATTTCCCTGTTGATTAGTGTATAATATTACCGCATTACGCAAGGACGGGCTTAAAGTTAATCTCTGGTCTGCAGCATTAGCAGGGAGCCGATTCCATCCCTTTCCTGCTCAGACTCAGAGAATCAGTGCAGAAACGCGTCTTTGGGATTGGGTCTTTAATCAAAAGCACTGTGAAAAACCTGGTTGACAGTAAAGGAGAGACGACAGAGGGGCCGATAGGAAAAGCGACGCTTCCCACCCGAATGTCTTGCTTAATAAACATTATTGATCCCATGAAGTGTCCATAAAGCAAATGACCCCCCCCCTGCAGCAGCCTCTGCTGTCTGCGCTATCCTGGTCACATTCCTGAGCTTTACATTCACAGCTATATTTACTCGACTCGAGAGTCGCTGAGTCTGTCTGTGAGTCTGTCTCCGGACATGCAATCACCTGTCCCCATTTGTAATACCAAATAATCACATAACTATTAATACACCCTCACTAAGAGTTACAGGGGCTGGGGGAGGGGGGGGGGGGGGGGAGCTCTATGTCGGTCTTAGTGAGCTGTGGTGACCACATTGCCGATTCACACAAATGCACTGACTCGGCTGGTTTTGGCTCTGCAGCACTTTGTTGTATGGTGGAGTGATATCACTCCTGTGCTGCTGAGGGACAAAATAACGTCCTAACGCCACATCTGCAACCCCATCTAACATCCGCTGAACCGGTGTGTTCATCGGACTCCCCTTTTGCACCAAAGAGGCATTTTGGAACAATTGCTTTTGCATAACGGACTTTGTAAGTTCCATTCCCCCCCCATAAGCTAAGAGTGTGTGCATTCAACTCGGAAAATCACATTAGACTTGGAAAGTCCCACAGACCGATAAATGACATACCACAAAAATATGCCCAGAATTCTCCAATGTCAGACATGTAAAGCATCAGAGAATCCAAAGGCATATTTGTGGCAAACACTTCATCAATAAAAAATGGGGAAAATAAGTCCAAAAGAGATTTTTGAGATTACATTTTTTTTGTATTTACTGTCAACACAAACCGAGCGAATGAAGATTTATATGAAGCAATTCAGGGTTAAAAATGTTACATTTCAAACTAGTCTTTTTCGGTACCACATGAAATGCAATTTAATATCCATTTTACCACCAAAGCGACCACAGTGAAAGACGTATTGTTAAATCATTTGTTTTTAACACTTTTCAAAATTATATCACAATAATCACAACACAACTTGGGCTAATAAAACAGAAAATGCAGATCCATTAATCAAATAAATCTTTCTAAATTGACACTCACTATGGAATAATAACGGTCCTGGCAACTCTACATGGTTCATTTCTATCTAAATTAATGAGAGCCATTAAACAGATCCCACAAGCGGCCGTGAGGGTACTTATGGGCAAACTTGAACTGCCATCAGTGTAATTGCAGCATGTGATGCCCCCCCCCACACTTTGTAGTTTTCTGACTGCTGAGAAAAGTGAGAAGAAAAAAAAACATTTAAACTTGATTGATGTTAGTGAGGAGGAGTGTGAAACAACATCCTGCGACGCCTCGTCACTCCGTGGCACAGTGCTGCGCCACGTGTACCTCCATATATCAACAACCAGCCATCCGGCTGCACTTGGTGCCACTTTGTATTTGCAGCTTTATTAATGCTGGATATGTTTCATACATCACATGCAAGCCATTAATGAAAAGAGATTTGGGGTTTCCACAACTCTAATGCAATCATATTTTCACTTCTGCAGGTATCCATGTAACTAAGGCGTTAATAAAGTCATTTACTAACAATTAATACTGGGGAGGCAAAGCGAGGGGCTAATGTCAAGTGTGCTTCTGATGCTGCCAGAGGAAGCCACACATCTCGGTCCCCAAGCTTTACATTTGAACGGCGGAGAGAGACGTTCTGTGCACAGGCAGGTTTTTTTTGTAGACTTTGAAGCTCCTTTGAAGTATCAGCGTAAGTGATGACACTGAACCCCGTAATCCCTGCGAGTCAGGCGAAGACAGAGCGGGGAGGGACGAGGACCTGAGGCAGGTAACCAGAGGTTGGGATAAACTTGCTGGGGACATTTATCACGCACCATGCTGAAGTCGGGGTGCCGCCGTGACGCTCAGGGCACAATAAATAAACACAAAATCATTTCCGTGCATCTTACCGGTTCAAAGGGCTGTGGGACAGCAGATAAAGAAAGGACAGACACAGCTGGGGGACAATGAGTAGGGACAAACTGGCATTTCAAATTAATATTAAGTAATTGGGACAATGCAAGACAACGGCAACATTTAAAGCAAATTCCTCTTCCCTTGCTTTGGATTTGTAACCATGGAAATGGTATTTACATCCAATAGACTTTACAGTGTGTGGACTAAGAAAAGGCCGGAGTTTGTACGCTTATTTGTGTGGTTATATGCACCACATTGTGCACAGATCAAGATGGCACTATAATATATTATAGAAAAGATGATGAACAAGACCAAGAGTCATGTGGAGCTAAATGCTAACGTCTGCAAGCCAATGACCAGTATCTGTCACTTATTTACCTTCCTGATCCTTTTTTCTTATTCTAATCTGTGAATCCCTCACATCCCTCAACCCTCCCTCGTCTCCCGGGGGGGGGGGGGGGGGGGGGTTACTGGACCATGCAATCTGGTGCATGCATGAGAGACTCTGAGAGAGAGAGAACGGTGGCATTCACCGCTGTTCATATAGGAATGCCTCCATACACAAAAGATGCACCCGCTGGGGAGTGAAGCCCCCCTTTCCCCACCGCGCTCGCATGTAGAGGTGATGAATGTGCCAGCTAAGCAATGTCGGATGTTCTCAAGAGCCGCTAGTCATCACTTACTTGGTGGTGGGGGCCCAGAGAATGAAGATGTGGAGTGGGAGAGGGGGGGCAGGGGTGGGTGGTTCTGACAAAGCTATTTTTAATCTGGATTCCATGTAGACAGCTGCCGTCCTCCAGAGTGCCGGTGAGACTTTCCATCACCAGGAACAGTGTCACAAGACTTCCCCCCCCCCCCGCTGAGTCTCCGTTATTTTCATGCTGCAATAAATAGTAACAACAGCTCCGTCATTCATGCTTTCATTGGGGGCCCAGTTGTGGATCGGGTGCAGAAAATCTCATAAGCTCATCCGCTTTAGCTGAAAGCATTACAGACTTTGGGCTCCAACTGCCCGTGTGCCGCTGTAATCCGCCAGCGTGTCCGACTATTAGCCTTTACCTGGGACATCAGGCCGAGCGGACGCTGATCAAACATCATCGTCATTGTGAAAACGCTGCTTATTATGAATCTCTGGGAAAAACAACAAAACATTAGTCATTTATCTGTAATCACATCTACAAAGTCAGCCGCTTTCTGCAGGCAGTCTACCGGTTATATATCTATAGATATATTAAAGACTATTGGGGGGAAATGGATTTTAGCATTTGGTTTAGGACCTTGGCCACATGTCTGGGGGGGCCGGGGGTGAGTGGGGGGGTAAAGATAAGGGTGCAGAAAGGGACCAGCCAAAGGCCGGGAATGGCATTCCGTTGATGGCGGCCGTATGCCACCACATTGAGCCTTTCGATATGCGCCGTGGATCCCCCCCCCCACGCCCCCCAATAGGCATTCTCCCACGGCCCAATTTAGGCCTGTGTGCGAGGTAATGAATTCCTCACTGAAAATGGAGGAATGAGTTGCACATCCACAATTCTGCATGAATTAGTGAGCGGCGGCTTCAGGGCCGGCTGCCATGCGGTTCTTCACGCAACCTCCAATTAAACTGAATTTTGTTTGGCATGAATATCCTTCAGAGTTGATTTTCCTCTTAATTAAGGCAATACTAAGCACGGCACCAAGCGCCGTTTCTGAAACGTGGTGCTGTGAAATTGTGTTACAATGTGTGTCA